TGAAATTGGATCTTAAAATATAGGGTTGGCTGTAATTTCCTCATTAAAATTTTGAATTTTTACTTCTTTTCAAGTTTAGTGACAGACGTGTAGACGGTGTACGATTTGACGGTGTTTGGGCTGCTTGCCAGACGGTGGTTAACGGCATCGCCAAGTGCTTGTGTTCTGGCATAGGGGATGGATGGGTGGGGCCTGTACAACTCCAACTTGTGCGATTTTCCTCATGATTTTCTCATGGTAATGTTTGAATATTATATCGCCCATGTCGGTTCAGTTTATTTACCATTTGTGCCTACTGCTTGGGTTCAAATCCACCCACTGTCACACTCAATTTGCCAATTATGTTTCTTGTTTATGCTTGTAGTTCAATGGACATACATGTATGATACGTGTATTTAAAACATTTCATCTGAATCTACTTGCATTGAATCTTTGATCAATATAGTGACAAAAGGACAAAACGAAGGAAAAGAGATCACATTACGCATTATATTCATATCGATAACAAAATGAGTATAGTCTGAATGATTTACAAGAATTATGAATTCAGCATCAGCAAGGAAATTTTCACAATCTATATATTTATTACAAAATACTTCTCAACACTTATTTTCCCGAGTTGAAAAGACCCCTAGTAGTAATATTTTCAGGTTTATCATACCATGTCCGTAATATTCTTGTAATGATAATACCAAGGCATTTAAATTTTTTTCATAAAACTAAGGAAAAATTGTAGACACGGTATCAAATATTTCACATTTTTGCAAACTTTGTCTAAACCTTTGTTTTGTGCCACCCACAGTACCAAACCTTTAAACAATTCGCACTCGGAGTTCAAATGGATGGTTTCCGTCCAGTTGACTGTTAACTAAACACGTGAACGGTGTGACATGAAATTTTAATTTAAATTTTTTTTTGGTTTACAGAATCGATTTTAAAACTTTTTGCTTTGATACCAAACTGTAACGACTCAAATTTAATTTTCAAATCGCTACGAAAAGTTTACTTAAAATTACATGAAAATTTTATAATCTTTTATTTATCCTTAGAAATGAAGGCTCCCTTTTTTATATTGCAATTTATTCATGTATATACGGATATATCAAATTAAAAAAAATCAATCTACGATCTAAGAATCAGGGACATAACTCGACATATGGTTATCAATTGCCATTAGATTTGTTTAGATAAAACAATTCAGGAGCAGTACCATAATTGGATTTCTAAACCACGATATCCTTTTACTGTAACATTGATATATAACCTTATAAAAATGTTTAAATCTCACATAAATCAAATCTCAAATATTGAACAGAAAAAGTGGTTTCCATACTTTATATTCTCATGCAAATTTGAAAATAATTCCAATGAATCATGATAAGTGATGTCACCTCCAGTTTTAATAACCTACTTCCAATACTAACTTCCAAAATACATTTTCATGATGCGTCATTTTATTCACGTAACAACCAACAAATAAAATATTGGTTCCAAAAATACACATAATCTATAAATCATGTTTCCAGATCCCTAAATATTAGTCAAAATAATAATAAAACTAAAGTAAAAGCTGAAAATAAAATATGTCTTGACATATTACACCGAATTATTTCTCTTTAGTTTTAAAAGTCCCAGCACCACGACTGCACCTCATCACCCGCCGACCAACGACCATATCTAAACCTGTGAGAAGTAGAGAAAATGGTGAGTATATGAGAATACTCAATAGGATTTAAAAATATGATTAAATCCCGAATAAAATATCTAAATCATGCATCAAGAAAAATCATACCGTCATCATATCTTTAGAACCGATAAGAGCTCATTTCATATCATATCATTTGTACCGGAATGACCATAACATAACATCATATCATAAAATATCATATCTTTAACTTTCATAAGTATAA